GAACGTCACACTGCAGCCAGAATTAAAAATCATAATACAGAGTTATAACAGACATCTAGCTGGCATAGCCAAGCTCTCTAGTATAAGGACAGAACAAAGTATAGGATGTTACCAGAGAGGAATACTTAAACCCTCTTCTGCTGGCTAAAAATCTCCATTAGAAACTGCTGCTCGTTTCTAGGGGTTGTCCCTCTCATTAAGTGAGAGTGGAAATGCATTAGGACAGCAGAGCCAGCCGACAACCACGCCCACCCTCACATCTCCTAGTGGGGGAGAGACTTCACACATCTGTGTGATGTAGGCTCATTCCCGCTCCGTTGCTGGTTACCTGGGTGACCATGGACGCACACCGGGAGAAGCCGCACACGATCGATCGTGGAGGCCAGCTACGTCACCGGTCATCATGGTGGCGGCGGGATGCCGCAGTACACGCAGGTTCAAGCTGGTGCCTCAACAGGCAAGATGAATTTCCACTCGCCCTCATGCAATTGCTGCAGTTTTGGTGTTGCCTTGACCCAGTCATCTCGCAATCACAATTTGGCCCTTATCAGTCACTAAAATACTCATGCTTGCCCGTATCTTTTGCTTCCAATGCATCAGCTTCAAGGACAAAATGTTCACTTGTTGCCTAATATAATATAATATAATATAATATGGCATCTTCCAGATGCCATTGTAATGAGATAATGTTATTCACTTCACCTTTCAGTGGTCATAATGCTATGGCTGATCGGTGTGTTTGTGTGTGTATATATATATATATATATATATGTACTGTATATATACTATAGTGCTGAAAGTATTGGGACGCCTGCCTTTACACGCACATGAACTTTAATGGCATTCCATTCTTAGTCCGTAGGGTTCAATATTGAGTTGGTCAACCCTTTGCCGCTTTAACAGCTTCAACTCATCTGTGAAGGCTGTCCACAAGGTTTAGGAGTGTGTTTATGGGAATGTTTGACCAATCTTCCAGAAGCGCATTTGTGAGGTCAGGTACTGATGTTGGACGAGAAGGCCTGGCTCGCAGTCGCCGCTCTGATTCATCCCAAAGGTGCTCTATCAGGTTGAGGTCAGGACTATGGGCAGGCCAGTCAAATTCCTACACCCCAAACTCGCTCATCCATGTCTTTATGGACCTTGCTTTGTGCACTGGTGTGCACTCATGTTGGAACAGAAACGGGCCATTCCCAAACTGTTCCCACAAAGTTGGGAGCATGGAATTGTCCAAAATGTCTTGGTATGCTGATGCCTTAAGAGTTCCCTTCACTGGAACTAAGGGGCCAAGCCCGACCCCTGAAAAACAACCCCACACCATAATCCCCCTCCACCAAACATTACACTTGGCACAATGCAGTCAGGCAAGTACCGTTCTCCTTGCAACCACCAAACCCAGACTCATCCATCGTATTGCCAGACAGAGAAGCATGATTCGTCACTCCAGGGAACACATCTACACTTCTCTAGTGTCCTGTGGCGGCGCTCTTTACACCACTGCATCCGATGCATCTCTATCCACAGGATGCAGCTGCTCGGCCATGGAAAGGCATTCCATGAAGCTCTCTACACACTGTTGTTGTGCCAATCTGAAGGCCACACGAAGTTTGGAGGTCTGTAGCTATTGACTCTGCAGACAGTTGGCGACTTCTGCTCACTGAGCGCTTCGGCATGTGCTGACCCGCTCTGTCATTTTACATGGCTGAGTTGCTCTTGTTCCCAGTTGCTTCCACTTTGTTCTAAAGCCACTAAGAGTTGAGCGTGGAATATTTAGTAGCAAGGAAATTTCACAGAACACCTGAATCCAATGATTTGGAGGGGTGTCCCAATACATTTGGTAATATATTGCACATATATATATATATGTATATATATATGCATATATATACGTATATAGGTGTTGATTTGGGATAGCGGAGATGCAACTAATAAGAATGATGACGAGGGGTGGTTTACTACAGAAAGGATTTGAAACTTAATGTTTCATTTAACCCGGGTAGTTATGATAGAGGCCCACATGGCGACTAACTGGTGTGGTCATCTTGCCGTTTGACGATAGATAGGTATGGTCCTGGATCCTTTTGAAAAAGGGTCTAATGGTTTTCCCCACATAATATGCGCCACATACACACAGTATGAGGTATACCACCCCTTTGGTTTGGCAATTAATGTGGTCCTTAGGGGACCACATTTGGCCATCAGGGAGTTTGATGCATCTTCCCTGTTTTATGAACCTGCAAAAGTTGCAGTGTTCACACTTGAAGGTACCTGTGTGGGTTGTTTCATCTGATCTTGCCTCTAAATGGTGACTGTGTATTAGTTGGTCCCTCAGGGACCTCGGGCGTCGATATACGATCTCCGGTTGAGTTCGTATATATTTGGAGATGATAGGATCTTGTGACAGAAGATGCCAATGTCTGTCCACGATCCCTTTAACCTGGTCGGACTGTTTGGAAAACCGGGTAATCAATTTTACTGTTGATGTTGGTTGTCTTCTTTGTGTCTGTTTCCTAGAGG